TATTCTACCGCAGACTTTGGCTGCTGAAGAATACGAGTCCAATAATAAATTGGCCGTTATTGAACAAAGAAGTCTTGCTTGATGTACTAGAGCAGTTTTTCAGACCATTCAGATCGTTCCGTGCTTACGAAAAGTCTACGGAGAGCTTGACCACGGCAGAACTTGGCAGGGATGGATATTGTCGGAGAAGTTCGGTAGAATCCCTTACAACATCCCGTTACTAGAAGTTGAGCAAAATCTAATTCAAATCAAACAAAATGAAAACCCAACGTCTCCGATATAATGGCCAGTTGCACTCAGGCCACTTCCTGCAGCTGGTGGAGTTCTTTCTGGAATACCACCCCCCCCTCTTCTCTTCTGCGGCCTTCATCCTACCTACCATCCTCCTCCGGTGCTTTCGTTTTCTATCTAATCCGTCGTGTAATAAACATAAAAGTCAACATTCAACATTGTCTTCACCTTTTCCAACGTTTTTTTACACTCAGAGACGCTGTACGGCTTGGTGGGGGCATTTTGCTAGTTTCCATGGGTCACTGCCGGTGCACCCTGCGGTGACCTGTAAAGTCATGTCAAAGCGTGCAATGACTGAAGCTTCGCCTACACTGGATAAGAGTTTATTGCTATTTTGGAGGTGAGACGCATGATTTAACGGGAACTATCGAAAAAATTGGCGAAAAATCAAAATGCACCTGCTAAGCCAAACACACCCACTCTATTGGACCTGAAAAGCTTTTAATCGGTGGGGTTAAAGTGAAAGTAAAGAGTAAAAAGTACTAAAAAGTGTTATTTAGTGAACATTTCTTCTTATACCTTTTGAGCAGTGTCTACCAGTTGTTTGACGACGTTGAGCGTGAGGGGCGGGAAGTGGTGAGTCCCATGCTTGAACCTTACCCCTTGGTTTGTGCGCCTGAGTTCCTGGACGAATTCGATCGTAACGTTCGTAACGATTTATGCAAGCCTCTGTACTGCCGTCTCGCATTTTTGCGTTTAGAATCGAGAACCAGGATCGAGGGTGGATCCCCTTCACCTAGCTATTGGAGGAACAACCTTTGAGTGCTTTCACAAGGAGAGCCTTCGGCTAGTTCTACTCGCAGCCCTCTTGCTTGTTCTTTAGCTTCTAACATTTTTATTCTTTTTTCCATTTTACCATCTGAGCATTTGTTTTCGGTGTTTCTTTTTTCGAGTATGCGGCCCACCTTTCTGTTCAGTAACTACATAAACTAACTACATAAATGAATATAATATTACATCAGCCTGCCTTACACTGGGCTCATCTATTCTACGTAAGTAGATATCCTCTCCCCCGGCAGTATTAAAGAGAAACGTATGCACTCGTCCTGTTTCCAATAGCCGCAAACACATAGGGACGGCAATGTCGTGACTTACTCGACCTAAGACTGTACCCAACCCACAATCTAAGGGATTTCATTCACGGGTTCATACTCAAGGTTGCATCATAAGCAACAGGGTACGTTCTGCTAATGGGAAAAAAGTTCGCAAATCACGATCTCCCGCACACACAGGTCCCCCGCACCTCGCGAATTTTCTGGCTCTGGCTACCATTGCTTTCCGATCGTTCCCTACTTTCCGTAGCTTTCATACGTTTTTTTTATCAGTGTTCTTCAAAAATTTCTCCACTTCTCCCCCTCCCCCAGAATTGCGATCTAACATTGAGAAAAGGGTGAAACGCGAGAAAAGTGCACTGCACAGAACATTTTTTCGCAAAGGCGAAGACGATACCCCTCGTTGGTGGCCGAAATACAACTCCCTCTTAGGATCCCACGTTAGCGTATCGCTAGCCAACACTTCTTTTGGACTTTAGTGGGCCATACCATTTGGTTTCTTTTCAGATAAACGGCACTGCGGAATTGCTTTCAATCCTTCCCTCATACGAAACATAATATGCTCTAAGACAGTGGAAACGCCTCATGGTCTTTGGGCGAGTGGGACTGAGAAAAGCAATCTGTCTATGAGCCAAAGTGAACGGTATTGCAGTAGATAACTTACTGTCAGACATGGTAGAAGCAGTAGAAGAAGCCGTGATGTTGGCATAATTACTGCACGCCGAGGGACCTCTTCACAAGGGTGTGTCAGCGTCTCGAGATGCAGTGATAAGGGAAACTACTTCTTCTAACCCAAGCGGATTAGAGCGACATCAGGAACATTTTGAGCGGATTATTTCGATTAGGACTGATTACAGGTGGGTGCACTCTCGCGGACGATTGTGCCCATTATTGAACGGTGAAGTAGAATTTCACAAGGAGGGTGCATCTTGTAGAGCCCTACCATATACCACCCTTCATGGAAACCGTTCGTCATTGGCGAAACGTCGTAAAAGCAATTTTGCTTTTTACCAAAATTATATACAGATCGTGTGAACTATCCAGAATTCACTACTTCTAAATCAATTTCAGCTTCAGAAGCACTTTCTCTGAATTCGTTTAGTAATTGCTCTGTCCAGACTGTTTGCATGCCTGCTTTTCTAAGATCCTTTGGAACATTCCTATTGAAAGTAGATTTCTCACATATGCAAGAACACCCAAGAAATACTGAGTGTTCCTACTTCAACCTTTCCCCTTTTCAGCAGTCTGCAGACTGAGTGAACAACTCAGAAGATGGCGCATTTTTGCCCTAAAAAACCATTACCAGAGAGAGTGTAAGTTGCAGTCGCTTTTGCTGCAGGCGCTTGGGCATGTCAGGAGGGTAGATTTGGCGCTGCGTCAGTTCTTTTTCTCCAGTTGTTGTCGCTTGCTCATTTCAAAAACTGGTGGAAACAGGCTGGGGCCACGCGGGGCCCGTTCTCCCAAAACACCCTAGCGTCTACAGCGAAAACGGCAACTGTAACGGGAATAACGGGTGTAAGCGCACTTCACACTCTAACTCCATCGCATGGGGCGTTGTTCCACAACATTTATCCCACGCAATTGTACATACATTTACATAAATTTGATTGTTGCTGAACTTAACAAACTTAGTTAGCGGAATTCCAGCTAAAAGATACTTCAACGGCCGCCTTCTTGACAATGTTACACGGATCGTATTTTCTGTGATCAGATTATGACGAGAAAGATTTTATATATGATAAGCGCCCTGAAGTCGCAGCAGCTCGCGCCCATCGGAATCAGACGTGGCATTGTCTCCTCAAGACTACTAGATAGGCACTGTATTTCATGAGTATTTTTTGTGGCGCAGTTTGTCGACGGGGGGGGGATTTTGCATTTCATAGATGAGTCGACCATCTAGAAGCCTTTTCTCGAGTTGACACGTTTTGAGATGGTGGCTAGACGATTTTGCTCCAGCTTCACAAGTGTTCACAAGTTTTACCAGAGTGAGATTTGTAAATCGGAACTAGGAAGCAGTGATAGTACAAAATGCCCCCGTCGACAAACAGCGCCGTTTTTGTTGACTACATTTCAAGCCCCGAACATTCTTCCTAGCTCAGTGACGTACGCCTCGAGGTCTATACCACTGGGCGTTGAAGGATCCGTGTGCATAGCTCTCCTATACAAAAGTCTACGTCACCGGTCGTAGAAATTCGACACTGCTGGACGCTCAAGCCCCTTGAAAGGTGCTAGGACTCGCCTGCTTATCATGACGGATTCGCTTGCTCATCGGAACTGTGGGTTGTTGCTAACACAATGAAATGTACTCAATGTCGTTTTCGCTTGCAGACCACTGTGAAAATGTCAGGAAGATATAATTTGGCGTCGGCTAAGCCCATTTATCACTGGATTGTTAAAGCGAAAAGCAACAGCATCGGGACGGCAAAATGGACTGGACGTTGCGAGGGAACGCAGCCCCTTGGACTACGCCCCCACCCTCTATGGCTGCCGAAACATGACTACTTTCCGGTACTGTGTTAATAGCGCCTCTACTGCTAAATGCCCTCCTGTATTAACTAACGCGCTGCTGAACACTGGCAATATTTTGTGGCCCCCTTTTTCAAAACTAATGAAATTAAACTATTTAATTAATTAAGTAGAATGCCGATATTAGATGCTGAGAAACTTTTTTATTACATTAATTATGTCTAACAATACCTTTATACATATCGAAAACACATATGCACACACGTAACAAGCAATGGAGCATCAGAATCATCGGGCTTTACAGCACAACTATGCTATGAACGATTATCGACTGACTGATTGATTATCAGTAGACGCAGGCGGATACGCGTCGATGAAGGAGGAAATTTAGGGATTTGAACTAAATCATTAATAAAAGTCAGTATCTTTATTACTCCTATTGATTATTGAATCCCACTTGACTGCTTATCATTTGAGTGTTAAACTCAAACGAGGTATCAGTCTTGGCAAGGGTGGAGCCAAGTAGGGTGGAGCTTCCCCACAGGGGCTTCGTCATCAGCACGGTAAAATCGTCTCGGAAAATTCTGTCTGCTAATTTTCTGCACGAGCCAGGCGAACTAGTTTTTTGCATCAAAACAGGGCTGAGAAGTACGTATGCCTGACTACTACATGGAATATTTTCAGAAGTCAAATCAAATCAGAAACACGCTAGGGCAATGAGGTGAAAGAATATGCAGCAAACCTATAACCTATGATTAACAATCAATCCAATGTCCATAACATATGTGCGGCAGCCACCACGTAACGAGAATAGAGCGCGTATTCGTCGACGAATACATCAGCTGTGAAATCGCTGCCTATAGGAAAGACACTAGCACGGACGTGCTTTAATGGTCTCCGCCCACTCAGAGTGGTACGGACGAGTTGAACGACGCCCATGTTGGGAATTCTGCTAACGGCACGAACATATACGCAGCACTGTTCATGTAGAGTACGGTCAAAAAGAGACATTCCAGGGAAATCACCACTCCAGCGGTAACCTGCAAGAAAACGCTATAGGGTTTAAAGAAGAACTGCCGTCAATAAGCAGTTTCAGGCCGTTATTCTACATAAGATTATAGGTACAGTCCTGTTGGGCCATGCGGGCCTGCGCTTTTTCTTTCCATGGCAAATTCCACGCGCTCGCTTCGCTTCGGTGCGGAACGATATGGGGTGGTACTGAAGAGGAGGATATGCTTTTCCAGTTCTTTTCGCATGTATCTAATGTTTCACTTTTAGAACCTTCCTGAGAAACGGTTACAGCCCTAGCGACGCCGACTAGGGGATGAGTCATCTGGGGGGTCTGGCAACCACTGGCAGAAGCCGCCTGTTACGATTCCAGTCTCACGCCCTTCACACACCCTGTCGTGTGGGCAGGGTCATAACTGATACAAGACGGCAATTCGCCAGAACTCGCTGGCTCATAATGCAGCCAAAACGTTCTCGCAATTTACAAACTTTGTCAAGCACCATTTGGTGCCCTCCTTGCAGGAGTGTGCCGCATTCTGCCTTTCACCTGATCGTTTAGAAAGGCATGGCGCGACAGTAAGAAGGAAGCATTTAGGGCCTATTCCGCCTACACGACTAGAGCGGACTATTCTTTCAATCTCAAAAAGCTTGTATTTCGATCTCAGGCCCTACTGTTTACTTGGTCAGTTCGCGTAGACCTACGTCTTCTCTGTAAACTCTGAACAGAAAATAAAGAAATCCTACCCATATCGTGAGACTTTTCACCATTCCTGACCCGAACACGATGGCATTAGGTGGTGTCCCGACGGGCAACACCAAGGCGAACGAGCACGACATCGTCGTCGGGAGCATCAGAGTGAAAAGGATTCGCTTCCATTGCAGACCCGCCCCCTAAATGTTCAAGGCATGTCGTCTGACTATCCACTGACTATACCATTCAGGAAGGTTGATTATATCACTTCTTCTTCGTGTCTTGTGGCCACCGTACTCATATTAACATTTCTAATTAGAAGAGTAACCTGAAGTGGAAAATCTGCTGTGAAAGGTATACAGTGTGTAATTCGCGAGAGGCGGGCAAAAATTGCCCTTCACGATTGCGGCGGATAATCGCGGCCACCGTTTTTTTTGGCTCGCTGCTAATGTGCAATAGAGCCCACGGGACTTGCTTCATATAGATCCCGTCTTCGTAGACATTCATGAATATTGTAGGTTTGAATCGCCTGTTATCGCCAGCTTCGACCTGGGGCCATCCTCATTTGCGGGCGCATACGTCGCACGCGAGGCCCACTAGTGCAGCGAATTACGATTCTCTTGTCACATACCCGTTATTCTCATTCAACTTTCGCGAACCTAAAAGCCGTGGGCGCTGGCAGCCAATTGGAAATGAGAGTGTAGGTGTAGGATATCGTAAGACGGAACCAACTTTCAGAGACCCCTTTCTCTCGGCCCATGCTTTTTGCGACAGAACGGCTCGCGAAAAAAAAAATGCGATCAATAGGGAAGTGCTTGTAACGACGGTTAGCATTAGTGGAATAGCCCACATCAAAAAATCCAAGTTGCCACGCCACGAAAGGATACCAACCACACGGTACCGCGGTTGGCAGACACGTTGTTGGCGAATGACCAGAGTGGCGCCGGCAGACACAGAGGAATCGCCACTGCCGCCCGTATCCACTTCCCACTTGTTGAAGGTTAGAAGCCACAGAAAACCGTCGCTAGTTCTGGTCGGATCCTAGCTCCCTGCCCCCAAACAACAATCCCGAAAGAATCAAACGTACGTTAAAACGGTTTCCCCAATGATTTTCAATGTATTGTGAATACGAACCAGTTTAGCAACGATGTTCACAAATATCGTCGCAGTTACAGTGTTACTGCAAAAGTTCGTGACCGTCATGACAATGGCCATAGTGACGGCTTGTAGAAGCCACAGAGGAAGATGGTTTAGACCCGTAAGTGAGTTGCCGATGCAATCAGAAAGGCCGGATTTCTGGACACCTGAAATATTGTCGCCTTAAATATCAAAATGCACATTATCATGCTGATAACATGTGAGGAGCAGATATACAGTCCTCATCATTGCGGACCGGTGGGGCGTGTCAGTGCGGCTGCGTTTGGCGCGGTGCCAAAGTCGTTCTGCACCAGTTGTTGAAGCGGGCAAGTGACATTACTGTATTATATCCTTCGTATTACTCGTTTTCTACCACTTTTTGTCGCATACGCGTTTCAACAAAAAGGCTGAGAACGGCTTCAACAGTGTGCACACTCATACTGGCTGACACGCCCCACCGGTCCGCAATGATGAGGACTGTACCAAGGTGCTTCTCTCAATTGCGCGCTCTTTTTCATCGTCATCTAGAGATCAGCGAGGGAAGCACATGGTACGCGCGACCTGAAGTCACTTGTAAGACCTGACCTTGAGCCAAAGCAAAACCGCCTCCAAGCAACATAACAACGTTCCAAGGGAATGTCTTTTGTATCGTGGGCCAGTCCATGAGACGGGACTTCTGAAATTTCACTATTCAAAGAATCGCTAAGTAAAGAGCTGGGCAGAGCTGCCAACAAACGGCAGAATATCCGTTTACCAGTTACCTTTTTGAGCTCCTCTTTCGTTTTGTACGTGAAAATGTCAGGTTTTTCACTTGGCAAAGCAAACAGTAGAACGGCAACGATCATCGCTGATGTTGCGTCTGTGTAGCAATTTTTCGGGAACCAACCACCAAATCCTAAACAAAACGAACCTCATCGGTGGTAAGGTGAATTTGTATTTCTTGTCTGCAGTAAGGTACCTGTAAAAAAGCCAGGATCCCGGAAGATCCACAACGCTAGCAGTACACAGAAACAGCAGAGTACAGATTTTTCAGCATAGCTGCAATACTTTTATAAAACATAGAAAATGAAATGTCTTCGAGAACAGACTGTAATACCAAAACATACTATGGACAAACCCCGCCCTCATCGGACGAGTTAATCTCATAATTTTCGAAAAACCGACCTTGTTCTTGGAAGTTCATCATATCGTTTTGTGATATGATCGTCTTTGCCAGGTGCATTTCTCAGGAAGAACAGCGTCAACGTGAACCAATGCGGCTACCAGACATACACACATCAGTGGTAGAGCGAACATTAGCCATGTGATGTAGTTCATTGACGATTTACTATCGGGATACAGTCTGCAAAATGTTCATCTACTTTGATTGAAATTGTGTTGTCAAATCTAAAGCACAGTTCTAGAAAGGTGAGGGGGGGGGAGTGGGAGAGGGGGGCGACATTTGCACTTTCGCTGCTCCCGTGTCAAGCCATCAGGTTCTTGTGAAGCCATAAGTGGTATCATTCAAAGTTTGTACAAATAGCTTGTCAATAGTCAAAAAATACCTGTCACACGTTGTGAAGCAACGGCCACGACAATGGGAAGGGAGAAAATGAAAAGAAAATGCCCTCTCTAAGCCGAACTGACGCCATAGAGCCCATTAAGAGGGTGAAAAAAACTGCAATTTTCTTGAAATTGTAATCATTATAGCCCCAGAAAGGGACTCCGCAACAGGTCCCGCCAAGTAGGTTTATAAATAATATATAATAATACGAAATATATGAGCTAACAGAAAAAGCGCGAAGGTCATAGGGCCGGTCTTGAGGGTCGCAATAAAAAATGCTAGCACGATTCGAAGCGGAAGTGGAGTGCGTTGCTCATCAACATCGGAATCTCATCCTGGTATTCTCTCGAAAACCCCGTTGCAACAGCTGGTCGAACTCCAGATCTGGCAAACCGTTGCGAAAAGTCTTAAAGGCAGTTGGCACGATGATTTGGCACTCGGCCTAAAATGCTAGTAGGGCGCTATATAGTGGGAAATGGCGAAAGAACGGAGTGAAACGGTCAAAATCCTACGAAGAAAGAGCCTCCGTTCTCAATGACTTGAATATCGATTTTGGACGAGTTTCCGTAGCACTACCAAAAATGAGCCCTACCGAATACGGCTGCATACATGTATCCATATATGCAGCATCACGGCCCCTTCATACCAATCCCTTCGCTTCATAATTTACTTAGCAAATGAAGCAGTACGAGCGTCAGGAACGGTCGTCCATTTGGGCGGGCGGGCGTGGCAGGCGTTCGGCTTGTAATGTTGTAGCCTCATAGGGCCCTTTTATGGGAAAGGCGCTATGCAGCGCCTGCTCAGGGTCGCGGAATTCCGTCCTGCCAGGCGTATTAATCCTACTCGTCTTGGGGATTTATCGTGCCAACTGCCTTTAACGAGCTGAGGGTTGACGAAAAAAGGTTCCTACAATTTCACAACTTTCATGGCCTAGTCACCCATTGTGCTTACAATCAGAGATGTCCATTCTATTGGGAAGAACTTTTGCTTAATGCGACCCCTTCCCAATTTTCTTCTCCAGTGTGAACCTCCATTCACAACCGACCAATCACTTTACGAAGTTCTCTCGAAGTTTGCTTCCGAAAGCAGGGGGGGGACAGATACGAAGAGCCGGGGAAAGTCAGCCATCAGAAAATAGGTCAGGTCAAAATATGACTCGCTTCCCTCCAGCGATTGAATACGCACCTTCCCCGCCCCCACCTCTCCTTTTCCGTCGGAGAACTTGCAACGTTCAACGTGCTCTGGTTTCATTTACTCCCTTATTCGCCGTGATATATAACTGAGGGGATGAGGAGGTGCACCTTGTGCTGATATCATGATGGTGGTTCACAGTCGTCTTTGCTAGTCAGTCTCTTCATGTAGCTTTAATCCTCCAAATGGCAGATTCATGCAAGAAGATAGAATTTGAGTGTTTAACTCATTAAGAGAGGAAAGGACAAAGTCTCATTTACTCACTCCCAAGATACTGAATAGATTTGAGAAGACCAGCTCATTTGAGGGGAACCGATCGCCACCGATATCTGTGCCGATTCCCTTTTGCTGGCTAAAATATGAGACAAGTTCCCAAATTTCGTCAGCTTGCCACGATTCGTCATCTGTGGCAGTTTCCGCGAACAGCGGCGACACCTGAGCTCGTTCCAAATCCCGTGCTGTACGTGAAGTCCCACGCGCTTTGTAACGTGACATGACGTAGAGAGGTCGTCGACCGCAAGAGCCACCTATTCGCCAGACAACTGTCGTTGGGAGCGAAGAGCGAGAGGTCGACGAGGCCACATTGAGAGGTTTAAAAACAGACACAATTTATCATTCGGCGAAGATTAGGGAGATTTTTGATCTTTACCGAATCTTTGCGAGATCTTTCACAATGGTCGGGAAAAATGTGTGAAGTAGAGGGAGGCGATGGATAATCAAGCACATCCTGTCAGAGGCGCTCTACACGCTGTTAGCGTAGCGCAGTTATGGCGCTTAAAAACATTTGCCTTCTCTTGAAATGGATCTCCCCCTTCAATCGGAGGGTACCAAAGAGAAGCGGGTATTTTCAGTGAGCTCCTACCCCGAAGTATCGAAGACGCATGAACAGCTTCTAATCACCCCACTCATAAAATGCAGTAAGGGAATGTGGGATTCATTAGGAGAGTTGACACTGGAACTGTGTAATCCTACGTACCGTTTCATTTGGAGGAACAGTTCACTTCAATCGTGTGGGTGGAATACGACCTACCTCGCTGTCCCTTCTCACTCGTGCGCCCCCCTTTTCTGTCTTCTCGAAGGGGACGGGGAAGGGTTCAAAATAGAGAGGTAAAATGGTACCCCGAATTTAATTCGTGCTACTAGAGTGGATTGCGCTCTTGATGGCCACTATGAGAGGAGGGAACCAGCGATCCAAACTAGGTGTAAATGTCTACAGAATAAGAATAATCGCTCACTGGTTCAAAGATCCGATCATGACCAGGTTACTTGGCGTTCCAGTGATCGTCCCAGTACCTCCAATGTTTGCCGCTATGCAGATGCACAGCATCAATCCTGTTGACATCCGCTTACACGCTGCTCGATCGCGAACACTGAAAGGCTAGAAATCATTTTTATTCACTTCTTTGGCTTACAGTAGCGGAAGGAAACTCGAAACAATCCAGAAGGTCGTCGAAAGTTCCATGAAATCGTTATTTACTGTTTCAGGGATGAGTGTTGGAAGGGCTGTTCCGTGTCTGCTCCTAGTTTTTTCAGCTACTATGAGCCTTGAATGGTAGGACAATAGCCCTACAATCGAACACTTACCCATTTTCCGGATGAGCGTTGTACGACGCCACAAGTTGACCGATTACCGATTGGCCAATCGGTACCATCATCGCAGTGGTGGCCGTATTTGAAATGAACATGCTAGAAGATGATATTCAGTCGATCAGCCTACACTCTTCTCCATCTGGATGACTTACCTTAATAAAGCCGTGACAGTCATGAAGCCCAGCATGATCCTGCAAGGAAAGCATGTCTGATAATTTTCATTCAGTAAATTTTTTTCAGGAATAGTGTGAGGTTAGAGGCCGTTGTTCTGGTTCTCTTATAACTATTGCTAATATCTATCAACCATACGACTATCAAACTGGGAAATAGCCGGAAACTTCAAGAAAAGCTCACCATTTTGGTTCACCGCCAACCATTTTCAGTACTGACAAAGCAACACGTTCGTGAAGGTCACACTTCTCGACAGCAGCCGCCATTATCAAACCGCCGATGAACAAGAAGTTCGTGTCCTGTAGAAGTTGTAACTACTCAAGGTAGTCAACCACTCGCACTTCACTTTGGGTAATTATTTATCTGCTGACTACCGTCTTGAAAGTACATTTATGGACCCAGACAGAGAGCCACTTCAATAGCTCCTCTATTCCATTGAAGGAAATTGAAAGAGCACTAATGAGCAAGATATGCTCCCCTGTCTCCTCCCATCCAGACATCGCGGAATAGGCAAGCAACCAGGTGTCTCCTAGCTGTCGCCCTTGTATCCAAATCAGTCTAGTCACAACTAAAGAAACGCGTCAAGCTAGCTCAGATGCACGTCCAGCTTTAACTCTTCTCAGACTGAAGTTGAATTAATTGCCAAATCAACTATTGATTTGAACTCTCACTTTTTTCGTTTTTCTTCGAAATAACTTGGTTATCACATGCATGTCCTTCACACGTAGGTTTTTCTCATCGGTTCATCCCGTGAACTCGTCGACGATGGCACCTTTGTGTAAATTTGCAAAGAATGGCGCCGAATTGTCGGTGCGTGGCAACTCGCCAATACTTCCGCTAAAGAATCATGTGGTCGACAGGCCAGGTGAAATCGGATCCTTTGAGGAAATGTTGAGATTGAAGACCGCTTTCAAGCTATTCTCGAATCAAACGGAGAAAACAAAAATATGGGCGGACTGTGACTGGCCATGCGCTTCAGGTTGGAATCATTCGAAGCAGGACCCTCAGCTGGTCCTCTTGTTTTGCAAGAGACGACGCTCTATTGGAAGGGAAACTAGGCTTCACCCAAATTCCGTTCGTATACGCCTTCTGCTCAGCGAACGTTATCTCGGTGAGAAAGACGAGAATGGCCTGACTTAGTCTGGCTTACCTCTTGAACTACCTTCGCGTTTATTAGGGCAGAATAATGACCAGAAATGCACCTAGTTTTTCGAACTAAAGTTTCTACCTCGTCCTAAGGCCAAATGAACCGCTGCGCGACCGCTTGCTGAATGAAACTGGATCGCGGGCATGTACACGCTCGTAGAAGAGAGAGGCTGGATTCCCGGATCCTGATGCCTCATTCGCGAACATCTCTGAATGCTTTAGCTGTACCGGGGTCGGGAAATTCAACCCGATGAACGACCTAGCGCCAAGTCTAACCATGAGCAGGAGGAGGCGAGCGGCTAGGAGAGCATTCTTCAACATCGAAGGAGTAGCGAAGGAGATGTGGAACATCAGGACATGAGCCATCAATTCAGCGGTCCTTCTTGTTCCAACTTACGCCTCAGAGACTTGGACACCGAACAATGCAGGTTGAGTGTGGGGTCAGCGTCACTTAGCGCGTTACAGAGTAATCTACGGAGTTTCCCACTACGTGAAAGTGAGAGAGAGATTCCGGATCTCCGTACTCATTCCGCTGATGATCGAAGATCAGGGACAGCCGCTTTTGCCACAGTTTTGAGGATCAGGTGAGACTCGAGGATGACAGCAAGGCCGAAATTACCGACTGGATTCCACGAAATGTTGAACAAACACCTGAGCGGCCGCCCACTCGATGGTCAGACTTCTTCATGAAGCTCTTAAGGAATGGTATGGCGTAGTGCCCGTTGAGCAAAGGCAGAACATTGGGCAACTCTAGCATGTTGCAGGGACTCATGAAGACTTTACTGGCGCCCGCTCAGTCAATTCGATGATCAACGGCACAGGTGATACGGGTGATACACATCCGGGAGCACTTTGCACTCGAAGGATGATTCTCAAAACGGTGGCACTAGTCTAAAAGCATTATTTTCAGCTATCATGTAAATTCTCAAAGGGACTGCCTTTGGATCAGTACCTAGTACAGTAGACGCCTACAAGATCGTTCAGGTTTTCAAATGAAGTAAGTCTTACATTGATGAATTGCAGTGCGGTCTCTTTGCTATCCATCACATTTGTCAGCGGGAACAAAATCACTGGAAGCATAGCTGTCACGGCCAACGGCAACACTTCAGTCATCCAGTAGACAGCCATTACCCCAACACAGAACGCACATCGCCATTCCTGAACGTTCGAATTATTCAAGTTTTGAGATTATTTGCCTACTCAAAAATGTATCCGCAAAAGTAACAACAAGCATTTAGTTCTAAATTTTTCGCAGAAACGGGGGCTTGACAGGAGCTGTGAGTTAGCGCTGTTTCACGAGTTGCGAATACATTCACAGCCGTTTTCGTTGCAGATTCCGGGCTGTGCCAGGGGAGGGGTTGGATTGTGCAGCGCCAGCTCGTTGTCGAACTGTTGTTACTTGTCTTCAACAATTGGTGGAAAAAGAACTGGCACTACTCCAAACATAACCCCCTCGGCACGCCCAAGCTTCCGCAGCAAAAACGACTGTACGTGCCACAAATGCTGAATTTTTTAGAAGAGTATTGCGATTGTATAGTTAAGGACTATTTGCTGAAGACCTTGATCGCGCTGATTTCATGCACTAATGGGAGGGGAACGGCACTAGCAGACATGACTTTTCTAGTGCGATCCGTGTGCATTGTGTATTTCAACATGAAAAATAGTGGCGCAGTTGGCTTGGTGGGCGCACCAAATGTTACTCAGCAAGGCTTGTACAAACACTTTGTGAAGTCCTGTAAATTGGTGTACCGCAGCTTTTCAAAGAATTTGCGGGTACTTACGTGTTGGTTAACATGTACTAGCAAGGGGAGCTAGCGAGAGAGCGAAATGCTCCCCCCAAGCCGATATAATACCTACTGTGGTAGATATATAAGAAAAATGTCGAAGTTCAATGTGAGTTAACGTACCGACTCAGGAGAGAACGCTAAAGGACTGAAAGCGAGTGGAGTAACCAGCAGGATCAGGGCCGTCTTGCATCTTTGCAACAGATTCAACCCAATTTGAAGTTTCGTCACCTAAAGATATCACTTGATGAGCCAAGGGACACAGAAAAAAAGAGAGACCAAAAAAGTGAAAGGTATAATATTCGGCCAGAGAAACACAAGATTTTATTTGTTTCCAGTGGTTTTTCATATGTAAATAGACTTTCAAGTGCATTTCATAGAAGAAATTATTGCGCTATTATGTTGCGTAACTAGTTATAAGTCATCATCACTATAATCCTATATTATTAACAACCTCAATAATATTACCATCTCATCGCTGCGAATGACGGGGCGTGTCAGTGAGGCTGGGTCCGACGCGCCGCCAGCCCGTTCTCTGCCAGTTTTTAAAGTGAAGAAGTCAAGAACGTGGATATTACTTATATAGACCATATCATACTGCTTGTATGGCTTGCCGAAAAAAGAAAAAAATTAGCTAGCGCCGCGCCTAATCCATCCCCTGACACACCCGTTCATCCGCAGTGAATAAAATTGTACCCTATAAAAATGAATAGGCATCAGGTTCACTACTTTACTTACCACCCGCTCTTTGAAAATGAAATGGGATATGAGCATTGTTGGACGAATGGGACCAAAGGAACCGCAAGCCAAATGCGACGAAAAGGGCGGATTCCTCAGATGACTCGTTGCCTTGCGCTTATTATAGGGGGTGATACAATCTAATTGGAATTCTTTTATAACTAACAAATACCTTTTGCAGAAATGTTGAGCATATGTCAGCAATGACCAGACAATCAAGATTGTGACTGATTGCAACAGCTCCTGCCATGGAAATGTTTATGATGGCGAAAGCGTCAAGTGATGTCATTCGTCTGTTGTTTCCACCATTTTAGTGGAACAATGTATTCTCCATGACTATTCACCTATGCGCTTAATCAAGGAAATATGTTGGGGGAAGAAGCCAGGCCGATGTGGTCTGCCTTTGACGAAGTGAATACTTGAGAGCAATTCAGAGTTGGAGACCTCCTGACCCTACATCAGAAGCCTGCTGACATGCGGAAACTGATAGTTTCCTAGATAGTTAGCTACGCACTGCTGCACGGTACAGTTCGGCGATGGTGGGTGGGGGCATTTCTCATTCTGACTGGCTCTCATCGGCGTGTGGGGCCATCGAGTGTGGTGGACCAGTGAAATCTCGTGAATTCATGAAATGAGCCATCAGCTAAAGTTTGTGCGGATCACTTGTCCTCTCGTAGAACAGTGAAATACAAGTTACCACCGTGGCTTGACGAGCTTGCTCCAGCTTCACTTGCGTTCACATGGGTCACCACAGTAGGACATAAACCGAAACTAGTAAAGCAGCAGAGGTGCAAAATACCCGTTCCCCGTCGCAGAAGTCCGCTCTGCTGTACTGCAGTCTGAATTGATGAAATCTTGGTGTAGACGTCGCGCACGCTTCCCTGTTTGCGCAGCTCATTCGACTTTCAGTGCTCAGTTGGTAACTCAGCAAATTAGCAAATACGATCATCCTCTTGCCGTCATCCACAATATTCACCTGACAGAAGGAACTTCAAAAAGTGACTTTCTTACACTGAACATTTTTGGAAGCGCCTTTCGAAATGTCGTTTACCACGTGAAAAGGGGAAGAACGAGGTAGGGCAACAAACGAGCTGGTGGCAGTATCACTGTTCCTTCGTTGAAGTCGTCATGCTAGCAGCATGGGACACCATGGTGATGACCGGACTTTCTCCGTAGTTCGCTCCCCCTCTCTCTCTCCCTCTCTCTCTTCCCTTTTTCCGGTAGGATCATGAGCGTAAGGCGACCGAGCATCTAGTCTGGATGAAGTGCCGGTAATGTCCCAAGAATTCATGCGAAAAGTATGCGGAAAAAAATGATGGCTGATTTAACTGACTCTGCCTCCTCTGAATGCCACAACTGAAACCCATATACATTCTCGTTGAAGTTTTTCAAAGCCGTCAATGAGATCGCTTTGCACGAATGGAATTTTCGTTTTCCGAGTGCTTAGAAGTTTTCGAGTACAAAACTACTTTTCTGAAGATCAGCATGAAGTTAAAGATTCGTTAGGGACGGAGAAAGAGGAGAAGCAAAAACCTCTCTAGTGAGGCCCTTCCTGTCCCATCAAGCCTCTTCTTTGATTTACTGGAAAGAATATAAAAGAGCGAAAGGCGAAGAGAGTCTGATTAGAGGAGGAGGCCAGAGACGAAGGCTTAGAGACCAAAAGCACAAGCGAGACCCAAACTATGCTCAGGAAGTAGCATAGGAAGCGTCCCTTCCTCATGTCCCCTAATGTTTACTGTTTAATGCCTGTTGTAATGAAATAATGTTAGGCACACTCTATGGCGTCAATAAATAAATAAATAAATAAATATATAAATAAATAAATATGATGAACAGACTGTGTTCTGCAAGCCTAGTCGCGCTGCGAGCGCGTTTTCAACACGGATATGGCGATGGCGCATCGGCGCTGGCTCATCAGCGCGTTGCGTCCATTCCGCCATATCTGTACAGAAAACGCGCGCTGGCTAGCTCATCGAGAAATGATCCTTGAAAGTGAACTGACTGAGAAAAGGTTGGCCCTTCATAGACCAACAGGTCCTACATGGACAGAAAAGCGAAAGAACCTCAAGGATAACTTGGTCAATATAACAATCAAAAACAATAGTTATTCAAGCGTAATTTACCTCAGGTGGTTTGGGCATCTCCAATGAAAAACTTGTGAAAATCTGTCAAACGTAATTGGATTGTGAATGGAACTGTTGGAAAAAGACGAGCGGCTCTTAATCGTCAGAAAGAATTTTCGGTGTGAGACAAGGAACGCAAGGACGATGAACGCCGTTGAACGCACCACAGTCAAGCCGTTTTCAGGTTAACGCAATCAGCGACTTCGACACCAAAGAAAAAACCCTGGCCGTGCTCTTTATGGGCCGCATAGGTGAGTTTTTTGAGTATTTACGTGTTATCTGATTGAAACACTCCATACATATCATATTCGGTAAGGAATAAAAAACCATAAGATCTGCACTTATGATGATATCGTTTCCAAAAAACAAGAACCTGTTCTCGAATGTGAAATTGACCTTGACATCTGATAAATTGCTCTAAGGAATTCAATCAAAACAAACACGAAGATCGGGAAAGTTCGGTGAAAATTCGCGAAAAGTAAGTTTTCCGCGTCACTGCTCTTAAAAATCAACACGGCTTGCACGCGTTCTGATTGGGGGCGGAGCCCACCGTTGTGTGAAAGTCACGCCCACTTCATTATGTGAGTCTTGCCCATAGCAGTACGGACAGGAAACGGCGTACGTTGGGGATATCCAGCGAGGGGGTTGTGTTTCGTCGTAAGAGGGAGACGATCTTATTTATCTTTGGGCGAAATGTTACTTTTTGTTGCCAGGTTGGGCTACAAAGGACGACCGGGCTCACCAGCAGTTTTTTGACCTTAGGAGAAGTGGGAGTTTTGAAAAAGAAAGTGAAGTGGCACTATGAATGACGCAGGATGGGAGCTATAGGTATAGCAGGTCGCACCTGAAGGGTCGTATTCTTGTAAATATTCTCGCAGTGGGTTGACGGCCCTTGGTGTAGGAGCCACATTCACAACAGCGCACCTTCGCCACTTTCACAAGCATTTCAACAAAGAATTTCAGTTCACGAGGAACCTATTCGTGGCAAAGGTAAAAGACATTTGGACCACTCAGATTTTGTGAGATACAATGTGGTTCACAATTTCGAATACTTATTCCACTATGGCTTTAGGCTTGTTTGATGATGTGAGATTTGCCCTAGGGAGGTATGACATTAGGTCCGCTTCGAGGCCTTGATCATGGAAAAGGGGTCTCAGAGCTCATAATGAGCGACCAACTACAAAACGAAAGACAATGCGTGTGTCCTTAACGGCAGAGTGTTCTGTGCGACCACGGACTGATTTCATGTAGTGGCCTTCTCTTCATCTGACTGGAGCTATCCCTTTGCGACTAAATTACTTAGTTGGTGCTGAATTCGTTCAGGGGAACGACCTTTTAGCTGAGTGGGGTCGCATACATTCCCTTTACAAGGCTGCCGTCCCTAAAGCCCCAAGGCGTCATAGGTAAATAGCCGCGGCGGACGAGTTCCTACCGAATGTCTTGAACCAAAAGAAATGCATACAGGCAGAACACAATCAATTGAAATTGATAAGTAGGACACTTCATCATTTTTTGATGGTTATCATAAATCACTATCATACGGCAAAGGGGCGTAGACGATTTTCTAAAGTGAAGAATTGGTCTCTCCGAGAGAGGTAAGATGAGACGGCTTCGGACAAGGAAGTTCCGCAGAGTCTTTCTTCCTATTCTGGCTGGAATATCACAATGCTATTAGGGTACAGGTCCAATGGGGAAAAGGCACTTCATTATTCAACTAGACTGAACATTTTTCTCATGTGATGTAAATAGCTATAAAAGGACAAAGGGAACTCATATTGTCTACCATAGTTGGAAGGCGCGGTGCGTGGAACAACTCCCGGCTTGGCTCTCTCCCAGTCAACCAAACCCCTCTGGCGGCATCAAACTGGTGCCAGACTCGTCTGGAATGATAGAACACTGACTTCAACATCGCATTCATCAAGCCACTGGTACTCTGAAGGGAAGAGGAATGCGTGTCACATCCCAAAAACGAATAGATCAACGGCACGGTTCACCTTTTTGTTCAGAAGGCCGGCGCTTTTCCCGTGTATTGAGAGGTAGCCGAAGAAAATTCTGCTGTGTGGGATAAGTGCAAGGGTCAAACATGCATGAACTTCATCGGCCGCTAAAGGGTCTGACCAAGAAATCAACAAATCGTAAAGGATGACAGTTCAAATGAGGGTTGACAGATTTTTGTTATCTCTTTCGTTCCGCTTCAGTGGCGCAGTTTGACTAAACAGTAATTGAATAACAGTAAAATAAAATGTTATGGGGACAGTGGTCTACCTTCTGGTAAGCATAATGAGTCGGAAAATTGGCGCTGGACGAGCTTTCCAGCATACGCTGTCGAGATTCCGAGTTTTCAGGCCACCCAGAGAGGAGCAACGACATCCTGAAAAGGGGCATTTATTATAAAACATTCATAGGATTTCTTGAAAAGGTTGATGTGAAGCGAAATATACGATTCAGATTCAAGACCTCACGAATACATAATCGGACATTAGAAATACGGAGGAACACTCATTGTAACTCCTACTCCTCCCTTAAACGGCAATATTAGGGCGAAAAGTGCCGGAACAACTTATTTCAGATCAGCGTTAGCATTTTCTATATAAGGGAATTGAAGCTTAGTGAGATATAACCGCAGCCTCACAGAGCCTCAGAGTGATTTTGACTTTTCTAAGCGCTCAAGACGCAGGGAATGACTGGACGTGTTGGAGGAACGACTGGTGGGAGATCGCAGTTCACCCATTCAGCCCAAACTCAGCAAGAGATGCTTCGTAACATGTTTTTGGCAGGTAAGGGAGTCTACTGAGCAGCAAATTTCCGTAGAAACCACACATACGTTCTACACTGGAGGATACACAGGCTCCCCCAGAGTCATGGCAACAGGGCAGCACACTGAAATGTCGCTATAATTTTTAAATCAAAGTGGACGTACATGGCGCTCTCCAACAGGGACGATTACCGCAATTGTTTATTTCGTACTCTTGAGATGCGAGACGCGTCATTTTGAGATATTTTGATAATCACCTACCGAATCGGGTCCATAGCTACGTGACCGGACAGTGCGCCAAACCATTCAGTCTCGCCTTTCCAGCTGCATAGCGCAAACGCTCATAAAAGAGCGAAAGCACAAGGCCGTCACCATGCAAAACTATACCATCATGACTGAACAATGGTCTAT